ATGATAATAATGATAATAATAATAATAATAAATGATAATGATAACGACGATAATGATGATAATAATAATAATGAATGTAGCGAAATTACTCTAAAATTACAGCTTTATTTCCAACTTAAAGACTTAAATTTGAAATAACGCCAGGTAGTTTTTTTTGTTTTACACTTAATATTTTCCTTCAGTTATTTCATTTCTGTTCTACAAAAAACGAGGTTCCTTACTGAGTTTTCCTTTCATTACTCTGAAGAATTTCATCATCGTTATCATTATTTTAATGCTTCCTTAAAATTCTTTTCAAAAACAAAACTAAAATTTTCAGATTGTTTTTTTAATCAAATTTCAAGACAGGAATTTTTAATTATTGTCCACTTTCAATTTCTCATTTATTCAATATAAGTAATAAAAAATGATTCATATTGAGAAAAAAATGACTTTTGTTTTCAAAACCATCAATTAAAGGTTGGCTTTTTTTTTTGATTTAGAAATTTAAAGAATCTCGAACTGCTGCAAATTTGAAGGAAAAGAATAAAAAATAAAATTTGTTCAAAAAAGAAAAAATTTTGTTTAATTGCAGGGAAAATTACTCTTAGAATTTTCCTTGGCATCATTTATCATATCAACGTTAGCCATTGGATTTGTCCAACCGTTGACACCGTATTGTGTGGTGAAACCCGTAAATGTAACTACAAAATGTTTTTATCTTGAACCAGCAGGACAAACTATTCGAGGTGGTGCGTTGGGTTACCTGAAAAAAGCAACCGGAATTGGTCGAAAAAAACGAGATGCCCCTCGTAAGTGTTACTTTTATATTCGAAAAATATTTGCAATTATTGCAAATTCACATCATTCGATAATTACATCAAAAAGTTTCAAATTCAAAAATTCAAATTGAAAAATAGGAAATTTACAAGTTGGTTATATAAATCTTGTTTTAGAAATTTGATAACTTACTAATTTCAACTGTACATTAGATAAACTCACATGATAAATGCATCGAAAAGAATCGAAAATTGTATTATTTTTTATTTTATCAATTTATGCAAAATTTTAATTGAATTAAAAGTTTTCTGAACATGATTTGGTGACGTACTTATTTTAACAGAAATTATAACAGCTTCGTTTTGCTTTATTACAGATTTTTTTTGCTATTCATTTAATTTGGTTTTTTTGATAATTATTCATAAAAATAAATTACTTATTTGCAGCCATCTTTGAGACAATCATTGATCTGAGCTCTTACAATAAGGAGGATGATGTTGTACCAGGTCTTTCACCAATTGCTTTAACAAAAGATAAGGTAACAGAATTACATAAAATATTTTTCAAGCATTTTATCGAGCAAGTTTTAGAAGCTATGAAAAAGTCTGACCAAGAAATTTATTTTAATCTAAATGTTAATAAACAGCTTTGAGTATTTACGGTATGATATGCAGTATGATAACAGTAATCACATCTTGCAGACTACATTATTATTATCACATTTCAATAAGCAGATCGTGATATTCACTTTTCATAGCATTAAAAATTAATTTTAAAAGCATACTGGTTTTTGTTGAACAGTTAGTAAGCTTATACAATAATTAACAAAATAAACAAATGCTTAATCGTAACAAGCTTATTTTCGACAGTTTCAATTTGATATAAATTAAAATTTTGCTAAAATTTACAACATGCCATATAGCGTATTATAGGTATGCAATTACGATGAAGATTTATATGGTGTTTTAGTTAGTCCACCGCATAGTACACGAGTCTATCGTAAACCAGCTGTGGAGCAAGTAAGATTACTATCTTCGTTACAGTAATTATTCTGTTACAGTAATGCGTCCATCCTCTTTACAGTAATAAATTAATAGATTAAAATTAAACAATAAATATAAAAAAAGTTTAGTCATTAAACTACTTGTATCAAATTGCTTATAAGAAATTAAACAGTTTGTGATATCCGAGAAAAAAGTTATTAAGATAGGCAAATTTATAATCCATACTGTAAGAGTTCTGACGATGAGTTTTTTTTTGTTTATTTTTGTTCTCCATCTTTTCTCTCTCGTTCATTTTTTTTTCCAAACTTGTCTCATGATCAGTGAAACATCCACATATTTATTAATTACGGATTTGCAAAAAAATTTTGCAAAAATTTCCTGAGAAAAATTTTTTTAGATATTTTTTCTGAAGTGTAAAGCTAAAGATTAATTTTCCAAAAATTTTCCTTAACTACTTAAAATGATTGTTGGTATGTGTTTAAAAAACATAAAAACTGACGTCATTTTTCCAAATATAATTTTTCATGATTTTCCTTTATTACTCAAAGTGATTA